TGCCAAGAGGGAGAGATATTGGGGGGGGGGGGTGAGAAGCAAATGAGCTAGAGAATGTAGGGGTCAGTGAGGTGGCTGCTACCCTCAGTGGGCCAGGGTTTTTGGGTTCTTGTCTAGATCCTTGTCTCCAGTGAAGCAGAAACTTCCCCACTGCACTGCTCTCCAGCCATTTCATCCAGTAAATGCAGGGGGCAGCTACTGATTGAGCAGCAAAGGGACCACCAGAGAAGGAGTGGACTTGCAGCATTGTGGTTACAGCACTGTGTTAGGAAGTCAAAGATCTGTTACCTGGTCAAGGGGATGCCTAGAATTTGGGGTGCCTAGAACTTACTTCCTGGGTGAGTATCTTAACCATTCATCTACTGGGGATAAAACATGGGGACTTATGCTCATATACAGAGCTGTGTACCAGGTTAGCCTATGCATGCGCACTGACCTGTCCCTGGTGCAGTGATAAGTGCCAAAACTGCTCAGGTAAGCAGCTAAAAAACTGTCCTTTTGCCACACAAAAGGGAAATGGAATTCTGCCTGTGATGGAGAAATACAGTAGGTATAGCTAGTACTCTCGGTGACAGGGTGTCTCTCCAGGAGTGGCCGTGAAGCACCTGGAGTCCCTGCAGCCCTCACTTTCTGGGCAATCACCCCTTCAGTCACTTATTACACCTTGATGTCTTACTTTGATATGAGGGAGGCTGCCCTAGGGCTTCCCAAATCGCTCCCTCAAAATGACCACCAGATGCCTGTGGTCACTGCCTTATGGGCTAATTGCATGGCTCTCATCCTCCTTTACACCATGCCCCATGCCTCACAGATGGCATCCTTATTGATGTTCTCTTCTACTTAGCCCCTCCTTAAGGGCTTCTGGACCCTCTCTGGTCCCACACTCTCAGCAGACTCCAGATCTTACTGCCAGGCTTCTCTCAGGGCCTGGGCTTATGCCTGCTCTCAGCCCAGCTGCCCTCCTCAGTCAGATGATTCCCTCTACCCAGCGTGCCTGCCAGCAGCTTTGCAAGATGCCTGACTTTACAGTGGCAGGCACCCCAAGTGCCCTGTCTCACTGTCTGCTAATGAGTAGTTAGGAGTGTAAGAGTGCATCCACTGAGCTATGTTCTTTATACCATCTTCTGGTGCTGTTTCCACAACCAGTCATTACCCAAGTTCATCAGTTTCTTGCAGCATCTTCCTCCCTAAGCCACCTACTACCTCCAACCCATGTATCAACAGGCACCACAGGGAAGACATGGTCCATGTCCACAAAGCAGAAACAAGACCTTCTTTGTCATTACCTTTGTAACTCAGGCTCTGTTGCCCATAGGATTCCTTTTACCAGAGACCCTCAAGGATTGACATGGCCCCTTGTCTAATTTGGTATCAAATGAACTTTTAATAGTAACCCCTAGGCTTATTACAAGTATTCTTCCTTGCAATACGACCTGGCAAGAGGTTCCTTCAGGCATTACAGCATACCCTCTGCTGGGTGTGCGGGATGTTAGTTTCTGGATTCCTTGTTGTTCAAACAAGAAGTACAAGGCTGCTCCTGTCTTCCCAGGGTGGCAGCACAGAACACACATGCGTTCCTTTGTTTGGCCATCACTTTTGTAATTTCTCTCATTCAATATTGTCCAATCCCTTGGCTGCATGCCAGCCATATTCCTAATAGGGAAACGGCTGCCCCTTGCTTGCCCAGAGCCCAATCACAGCACTCACATCTCCCAGTGCCACAGAAGGTGCTATGTTCAATTTTGTTGCTTAGTTCTGGGAAGGCCTGGACTATAGCTAAAAGCCTTAGCATAACTCAGTTTGCCTGCTACAGGCTCCTGGCCAGGCAGCCTGGTCATTTCCTACCTCTTCCCTTTCTCTCCTGGAGGCCATGAAGCCCTCTATTCTCTCATAGACACATTCACTCATTTTCTTTAGCACCTCTGCTTTCTGCCTCTAGATCTATCCTTCCATCTCCATTTCTTGGGCAGGCTCCTTCTAGTACTGTAACATGGGGTCCTGGACTAGCATCAGAGGATTGAAATGATACCTTGTTCAGTAAGTGACAGAAAGGCTTTATTTACTGCAAGTATTCAAAGTCAAATGAGCCCAAACCAAAACAAAAGTCCAGTAATTAACTATAAGGTGATGATTTCTCACAAAACAGGCAATGAAAAGGCAGTCTGTTTCTCTTCAACTTCGAGTAAGCTGAGCACAGCAGTAGTTGGTGTCACAGAGCTTTCTCACTCTTGAAGCTGTTCTACTTCTTTCTTATATCCAGGGCTGTCCCTTGGGGGGTAAATCGGGGCAACTGTCCTGGGCCCTGCATTTTGGGGGCCCTGCAGAGCAGAGGCGGTGCGAAGCCAGGTGGAGCAGCAGCTTTGCATCCAGCCACTTGCATCCCCTCGACTCTCCCCCTACCGCCACCAGGTTCTTCAGGTCCAGGGCCCATGGGATTGGCGCAGGGGCAGGGCCCCGCATGGGCTGATTTGCCCTGGGCCCTGCACCCTGTTTGGGTTGCCTCTGCTTATACCCTTAGTCCAGCATCTTCAAAGCATTCTTTTAGTTGTGTAAATCAAAAGAGAATCCCAAGCAGTAATTGACAGGGAAATCCTGTTAATCAAACTGCTCATTACTGGTTATCAGAAAGTTCCAATTTGAATGAATTACCTTCCTTGGTGACAAGAGGTTATCCATTTCTACTAAGTTTGGGATGCATCAAGAAACAGATTAACAACCAGGAAAAACACAAGTGTCCTTGAAAGATCCAGGGAACCACTAGGCAAAACAAGGTAAACCAGGAGGAAACAGCAAAACAAAAGTAAATCAGGAGACGCTTATCACATATGGAGAATGTCTCTTCTTGTACATAACATGAGTTAATTGCAAAAGAAATATTTACTATACTAATTAATCAAGGATAGACCTTTCACACGGTTACATACCAAACAACTAGAAGCCTGCTTAAAATCGTCATGAATATAGTAAGATAAGCTGAAGTGATACTTCATTATTTCATCTCAGATGGCCTACCCATGAACTCACATCCTCTTGTACTATGCAGTTAGCGTCAGTATTTTGTATTTTAATTTTGTGAGTTAAAATGCCCAGCTGAGCATCAGTTTCAGAGTCATCAAATACTCCAGGCCTGCTTTGTAGCTCTACAGCCCTCTGTTTCCAGCCATCTCCCTTTTTTTCCCCTTTGTCATCTTCAGAGATGCTTCTCCTGACAGGATATAGGCTAGGTAGTAGCCTTCTCACCAGTGGGAAAGGGCAGAGAGGAAAGAAGAGGGAAGTTTGTTTCATTTTCTCATCCTTTGGCAGGGACCTGACAGACATTGGCCTCCTCCAAAACTACATTCACTTGCGTTATGTGGACTTGTCAGAAAATCAGCTCCGAGACCTGTCCCCTCTGGGCAGCCTCATCCATTTGCTATGGCTGAAGGTGGATGGGAATCGACTGACCAGTGCCACCTTACAGGAGCTGCCCTATTTGCAGATTGCCAGTTTTGCCCACAACCGCATCAAGGACACTAAGGGCATTAGCCACCCACGCCTTGGCAGTCTCAACCTTAAGGGTATGTATGTACTAGGCTTTCAGCACAAGGGGGTGTTCTTTACTGTATGTCCTGGAAAAGGATCTCTGGAGGGATTAACTCTTCCATTGCTTGCTTCTGTGTCACTCAGGGAATGAAATCCAGGTGATATCAGGTCTGGATCCAGGGAAACTAGCCAACCTCCACACGCTAGAGCTACGAGGGAATAAGATAGAAACCACAGCAGGGCTGCACCTGCCTAAGCTCAAGAACCTGTACTTGGTAAGATCTTGTGACCTCAGCCACAAGGAGGTGATATGCTACAGAGAGTGGCACAGGAAGCTCAGAGATGGTTGGTTAGTTATGTTAGCCTGAAGGCAGGGCTAATTTGCACCTTATAGACTAACTGAATCAGAGATGTATAAGCAGTTGGCTTACTTCAACAGGAAGCTCAATCAAGGAACCTGTCCCCTACAAATCAGTGTAGATCTCCATGCCCTAGGGTTGTACTGAGGCAACACTGTCCAACTTTTCTGGCTGAACATATTCTAAAATGTGGGGGATGAAATCAATTCTTTGGGACAAGAGTCTCTGTCCTTTTCTTTTCTCTACAAGCTCAGGCAGTGGAAAGAGATTAGAAAACACGTATAAGTTCCCTACAGAGAATCAGGTTGCTGTAACTAGTTGCTAGTTCTCATCTTCTTCTTTCTTACCCTTTACTCTGAGCTGAACTGCATAGCTATGTAAGGAAAAACAGCATCTTTTGTTGGGTGATTTCCTATACTGAAACAGCCAGGCAAGCTCTATTCCTCTCCGCTCTGGGGCTCCCAGAGCTCAGCAGGGAAACAGGCAATGAAAAAAACCTATCTTACTGTCTCCTTTTTTAAAAATTTCATATCAGGCCAAATCAGCCAAATCAGTTCTGAATTCTGTGAACTGAGAAGAGCTCAATCTTTCAAATCTGTGTGGTGTTACCACTGGCAAGTATCCTGTTTCCAAGACTACTCAACCTGGGGTTTCAGATGCTCCCAAATCCATGGCAGGCATCCTATGTGCAGTCCCCAAGCCTGGAGGTCGTGGAGTTGAGATGCCCCCTAATTTCACTTGCCCTTCACCAAAAAGCAGAAAGAGCAAGCTAGAGGGAAAGCCTGAGAGCAATCCCCCATCACCATAAACTGTGTAGCCGAGATCCTTACATTTAGAGGCATTTGTAGACACTTGCCTGGGCCAGCCTGCCCACAGTGCTAGGGACAAGCCTTCACCCTCTAACTATACCAAGGCCATTCAAGGCCAAGAAGAAGGGTATCTCCCCAGCCAGTTAAGTGAAACCACCTGGGCCAAAAACCACCTCATGATGGTATGGTATCTCCCCTGCCTCGGACTTTTGGCTAAGATCCAGTGTCTCCTCTCTCCTTTTTTGAAAATTAAATGTTGTGTTCCAGGTCAAATTAGCCAAATCACTTCTGAATTCTATCAACTGAGCAGAACTCAGTTGTTCAAGTCCATGTGGTGCTACCACAAGCAAGTATCCTCCATCCCAGACTCTTCAGCTTGGGGCTTCAGATACTCCCAAATCCATGGCAGACATCCTATATGCAGGCCTAAGCCTGGAGGTCTTGGGGTCTGAATGCCTCCAAGTCTTGCTTTCCCTTAGCCAATAGGCCAAAGGAGCAAGCTAGGGAGAGATCCTCCATTTCCATAAAACAGGCGTGTAGCTGAGATCCTCCCACTGGGGGGCTATAGTACACTCTCGTAAGGTGTCCTGTCTGCAGTGCATTAGATAGGTGGGCATTGTCTACCACACAATGCTATTCAAAAGTGATCTCGGCCGAGGGAATGGACTGGTGCAGCAAACTACACTTGATTTTATCCCACAAGAAGCCAAGAAGCAACTGTCTCCTCTCTCCTCGTTATGGAGTAGGCAGCCAGCAGGGAAACTGCTGAGCAACTGTACAGCAGCTGCCAAGAGCACTCCAAGCTCATACTAAGGTTGCTTCCAGGGCTGCAGAGGATGTGATGGGAGGCTGTGTTGCTATTCCTTCCCAATAACCCCGATTCAAATACCAGTTTTAAAACTGCAGATCATAGCACAGAGAACTTCTGCTTCCTACATATGAATCGGTTTAAATAACACAGCAGGACAAAGTCTGAAGAAACAATTTCCCAGCATGTTAAAAGACTGCTTCTTGTTCTAAAGCATATAGGAAGAGAGGCTAGTCTCAACTTAGTCCTAAATAACATGCAAGGACAATAGCCTGCACAAGAAGCAGTAAGTGGCTCTTGGATCTCCAATGGTTTTAAAAGGAGCAGTTAAGGAAGGTAAGGACTTTGCTGAGAAACTGAATAGTTTATTTGCATCAACCTTCCTAGCAGTGGATATTGGGAAGATTCCTCCCCCACTCTGCTCTTGTTGTACCAAAGATGAGGTCATGTGCCTACACCTCTGTCTAGCAGTGTCAGAAAAAGTACTGGAGCTGACTGATCATGTAAGAGGCTATACCAGCCCCAGATGGTTACAGCCAAGAGTTCTGAAACAGGATAAGTACAAAGTAATGAGTTAGTGGCAATAATACAAAATTTCTAATTAAAACCAGGTAGAAGGCAAAATGGAGTTGCACTTTCTAGACTAAGGCAGATGTATAAGTTTATATAAGCAACAATTTATTTCAACAGATACTATGAAGGGACTACAGGGAGCAGAGCCTCTAAATAGAAAGCAGTGATTTGAATACAAAGGATAGGGAAGGGGGAGGAAAAGGAAGGGGGCACTACTGGGAGATGCAAATGTAGGTAGGAGAGAGAAAAACAAAGCAGTTAACTTACTGAGGGACATAGGGGTTAAAAAAGCTAATCCAGGTAATGGGGTATAATCTATAGTCTTGGTTTAAACCACAGTTAACTTGTTTCAGCCTGTGGATGATTTTTTGTTCCACAATTTACCATTTAAGTTGGTTTTTAACATTTTGTTAAGAACACCTAATTTGAGGTCAGAGTACTTAGAAGTCAGCTACTCTGGAATTGATGTCATCCAGTCCCAACCCCCAAACCAACTTCTTCTCCAAAACTGTGACCAGCCAGTTCCACTTCTCTCTCTTATCCTGGTTCTTCATCAGAACTGTCTTCCGTCCTTCATGCCTCTCCTCTGATCTACTTCTCCTTATTTTCCTTGTCAGCCAGCCCTTTTCTCTTCTTCCAGCTCTTTGTCTGATCTGCCTACTGCTGCTGCCTTCTATTTGCTCCCACTCCCTCCCATCCCCCAAACTCCTCATTTCTTTCTCTGGCTCATAGTCCCAGTGTCTTCTGAGGTGAAACACATAATAGAAGTCCTTTCTGTTCTTCAGTGTATGAATCTGTTAATCCTCTCCTCTTGCTCCATGTGCTACACCCCTGATCCTGGTTTGCATCTCCTTACTTCAGCCAGGAATTACACCTAAATTCAATTCCTAGTTTCAGTCACTTGGACCAATCGGTCTCAGCTTCTGCCTAAGTTCCCAGTCACAGAATCTTTCATTAGCCAGTTTTCCCTCTCTCTGAACTCCATTTCCCCCTCCACAGTACTAGTTGCACCTCCCTCCTAGACTGCTTGGTCAAACCTACTCTCTTGCCCTTCCAATCCAGCTCTTTCACCTCTTCATTTCAATCATTCGGCATCATCCTTTTCCTTCTCCTCTCTGCCTGGGTGTCAGCAGGGGGCAGTAGGAGCACAAGAACTCAGTTTGGATACCTGGACCCAGCACAACCTGTGGCAGCCCAGAGTTGGAGTTTCATAGATTTCATAGACATTAGGGCAGGGGTGGGCAAAATGCGGCCCAGGGGCTGGATGTAGCCCGACAGGGCCCCTAAAAAATTTAGAAAATTAATATTTATCTGCCCTAGGCTGCCAGTCATGTGGCCCTCAACGGCTTGCCAAAACTCAGTAAGCGGCCCTCTGCCCAAAATAATTGCCCACCCCTGCATTAGGGGCTGCAAGGGACCTCATGAAATCATCGAGTCCAGCCCCCTCCCCCAGCCATAGGCAGGAAGTCAGCTGGGATCAAGTGATCCCAGCAAGAAAAATATCCAGACATTTTTTGAAATAGTTCAGAGTAGGTGCTTGCATCACCTCTGGGGGGAGTCTGTTTCAGACCCTGGACACACACACTGTAAAGAGCTTTTTCCTTATGTCTAGTCTAAATCAGCCTTCTTGGAGTTTGTGGCCATTAGACCTTGTTATCCCTTGGGGAGCTCTGGTGAACAGCTGTTCTCCCAGGTCCTGATGTTCCCCTCTTATAAAATTGTAGGGTGCTACCAAATCAGCCCTGAGCCTTCTCTTCTCCAGACTGAAGCATCCCAGATCCCTCAGCCTCTCCTTGTATGGCCTGCCCTCCAGGCATTGGATCATAAGGGTGGCTCTCCTCTGAACTCTCTCAAGCTTTTCCATATTCCTCCTGAAGTGGGGGGTCCAAAACTGGACGTGGTACTCCAGCTGCAGCCTCACCAAGGTCGAGTACAGTGGGAGGATGACGGCCCTGGTTTTGCTTGAGATGCATCGGTAGATGCACACCAGAGTTTGGTTTGCTTTGCCAGCCACATCATCACATTTGTAACTCATATTTATCTTGTGGTCAATCAGGACCCCCAAGTCTCTTTCGGCCGTGGTGCTAGCAAGTGTAGCACTGCCAAGCTTCTAAGTGTGTTGAGAGTTCTTCCTACCGAGGTGCAGCACCTTACACTTCTCAACAATTAAGGCCATCTGGTTTTGGTCAGCCCACCTTGAAAGTGTATCCAAGTCAGCCTGTATCCCCAGCCTGTCCTGTAGTGTGACTGCCCTCCCCCATAATTTGGTGTCATCTGCGAACTTTGCCAGTTCGCATCTGACTCCCGACTCCAGATCATTAATGAAGATGTTAAAGAGTACTGAGCCCTGAGGGACTCCACTGCTCACCCTGTGCCACGTTGATTTGGTCCCATCAACTAGTACTCTTTAAGTCCGACCTTGTAGCCAGTTACCTAGCCATCAAACTATAAGACGATCAAGGCCACAGTTCCC